TCTATCTATCTATCATCTATCTATCTATCTATCTATCTATCTATCTATCTATCTACCTACCTACCTACCTACCTACCTATCTCATTCTCTCTCTCTCTCTCTCTCTCTCTCTCTCTCTCTCCCATCTACCTATCTATCATCTACCTACCTACCTGTCTATCTATAAAATCCATCACATCTGTCTGTCTGTTTGTCTCTATCCATCCACCCATCCATTTATCTATCTATCTAATCTGATCTGATCTAATATAATCTAATATATTCTGATCTAATCTAATGTCTGTCTAATTTTAATCATTTAGAAACAACAACAATCTCCCTCATATTTCTCTAACTCATTCTCAAACTGACAATTTGGGAAGATCTCCCTTCATTGGCTCTCTGACGTTTGGTAGCCACAGTAGGATCTGCGGAGGCCTCCTCAGGTCAAAAAAGTCAAGATGGCTACCAGGGAAGTGCAGTCCGAACACAGTGGCGCTCTACATTTCAAAAGACACCAGCTTCCATCGCACCATTGCAGGCGCCATCTTGACTTCTTTGACCTGAGGAGGCCTCCGCAGATCCTACTGTGTCTCACGAGGGGCCGGGGGGGTGGGCAGTAGAGCCCTGTGCCCCACTCTTTTTTAAAAAAAAGACATTTAAAGATTTGTTCAGGCGGGTCAAAAAACTTTTGACGCGGAACGGACACCCACCTGTACGAAGCGGGCGCCACAAGTTTCACATTTGTAAGGCTTCTCCCCGGAGTGGATCCGCGTATGAGTCTTGAGGTTAGCCGGACGGTTGAACTGCGCCCCGCAGATGCCGCAACGGTAGGGCTTCTCGCCTGTTTTGACCGACAGAAAAAAACGGCACGTTGTTAGCGTCACGACGTCATTTGCACACAACGAGAAACGACAAAGCTTTGAATCAAAATTCAACTCCCAGAATTCCCCAGCCGGTATGAGTGAACTTCGAGGTATATTACATCCACAACGTTCCCTCTATCTACTAATCTAGACTCTTAGTCCCAAAAAGAGCAGCTAAGAGATTTCTTAACGCCTGCAACTTTAAGAGGAGTAGAATTCTGGGAGTTGAAGTCCATCCCTCTTAAAAGTTGTCCAGATTTTGAAAAAACGGCTCTACAAAACTCACAAATTTGGCACCCCCAAATGTTAATAACATTTTTAAAAAAAGTCTAGGCCATCCAATCCTCATGGAACACCACAAACTTGTGATCTCCAGAGTCATCTAGGATTAACTTTCCTCAAGACTTCAACTCCCAGGATTCCCAAGGCTTTTTCCTAGCTGAGGCTGCTGGGAGTTGAAGTCCCAAGTGTCCTGATTTTATTCCCCCCAAGCCGAGTTGGGCCAATGTTTCAACAGGGCCAATCGCGACTACATTTTGATCTTTGCAAGCCAACATTTGGGGGTCTCGGGATTTGGAGGGGGGGGGGGCGTCGAGGTCGTAGATCACAGAGTGCTCTACAAATCACACGGCTCAGCTTCCCCCCCCCCGGCACCCCCAAAAAAGTCCAATGCTCCAGGCTGTTTCCAAGGAAATGAAATTTCCCAGAATCCCCTGCTCCAATCTGACTCAGGTGGGACTGTGGGAAGACCCCTCCTCAATTCCCAGGAGCAAACTCTTATCCCTTTTCTGGCACGCCTGAGGTCACCCCCCCCCCCAATCACAGGTACCAAAGGAGTGGAGTTTGCAACCCACAATTCTGGGGTGCTCCTTGGTCTATTGTATAGGTAGTCCTCGACTTACAACGATGCGTTTAGTGACCATTTGAAGTGGCACTGGAAAAAGTGACTTGTGACTGTTTTTCACACTTAACGACCGTTGCACCCTCCCCAGGGTCACGGGGTCAAAGTTCAGATGCTTGGCAACTGATTCGTATTTATGGCGGTCGTAGTGTCCCGGGGTTACGTGATCCCCCCTTTTTGCGACCTTGTGACAGGCACAGTCAACGGGGAAGCCAGATTCACTTAACAACTGTGTTACTCACTTGAGGACTGTGGGGATTCACTTAACAACTGTGGCAAGAAAGGTCGTAAAATGGGGCAAATCTCACTTTATCAATGGTCTTACTTAACAACGGAAACTTACGATTTTGGCCGTAAGTCAAGGACTACCTGTACTTCCATTTCATTTTGCCGCAATGAGCTTTCTCACGTTCATCTCAAGCTTTCTGGTGCCACCTACAGGAAGTCCTCGACTTACGACCATAATTGGGAGCAGATTTTTCCATCATAGATTTGGGGGGAGGGGAGAGGGGTGTTGTAAAGCAAGTCAAGTGGCCTGATCTATTTTCATGACATTTTTACCATGGTCATTAAGTGAATCGGGTGGGCGTTAAATGAATCCGGCTCCCTCCATTGACTTTGTTTGTCGGAAGCCGCCTGGGAAGGGGGGGGGGGGTCAGACATGAGGACGACACAACTGTTGTAAACGCATGTGGGTTGCCAAGTGCCTGGATTTTGATCACAAACGCCTGCAAGGAGGCTGTGATGGTCGTAAGTGCGAGGACTGGTCCCGAGTCCCCTTTCTCCGTGCCATCGTAACTTTGAATGCTCTGCTAAATGAACGGTCGTAAGTGAAAAGATTGGTCGTAAGTGCAAGGCTTGGTCATAAGCCACTGTTGTAGCTTTGCTCACTAAATGAACGGACGCAAGTGTGAGGACTGGTCCCAAGCCACTTCTTTCAGCACCCTCACCACTTTGGTCCTCTAAGCAATGTCCGGAAGTGGGAAGACTGCTCTGAAACCACTTTTTTTCCCCGTCGTAGCTCTGAACGGCAAATAAGCGAATGGTCGTAAGTCGAGGACTCCTTGCAATGGGCTCTTTCTCTTGCCATGGGCTTTGCTGCCTGTGGATTGGGGCCCTTCAACCCCTCTCCCCGCCTTCTCTGCATTCAAACCCGCCATTCCGGAGAGCTATGCGCCGGCACTGAGCCATGGCGGCCGCCCCGGGGGGTGGAAGGGCGTGTGTGTGTAGACGGACATTGTACCTGTGTGCACAGTTTTGTGACTGGCTAGGTTCCCCTTGTAGCGAAACGAGGCCTGGCAACGGTCACACTTGTACGGTTTCTCACTGTGCGTTTGCAGGGAATGTTTCTTGAACGCAGCCTCTTCCGAGAACGGGCACTGGCATTCTTTGCAGAAAAAGGAGCGGGTTTCTGTCGGAGAGGAAGAGGAGGGGACGCGGGTGAGAATCGCCTGGGAAACCACCCCACGCGGGGCCACTCTCAAAACGGTGCGACGGGCGGCCCCAAAAAGCAAGCCGGGATTAGCCCTCGTCCAGATTTGCACAAGAACTAATCGCAGGCACGAGACTGATCTTAGTTAATCCTGGTTTGTTTGGGATTGCCCGAGAACGAGGGGCACCTCCGACCCGCTCACAAACCCCGTTTAAGGTGCGTGGTGAGAATGCGGAACAGGCTTGTAGCGCACCGTGTGATTCCAACCGAAATAAATGTTGGGATGTAATTCTTATCTGATATAAAATGGAATATAATAATACAGATAGCCCTCGACTTACGACCACAACGGAGCCCCAAATTTCCATTGCTAAGCGAGACAATTTGTGAAGCGGGCTTTGCTCAATTTTACGACCTTCGTCGACACAGTTGTTAAGGGAATCGCTGCGGTGGTTAAATTAGAAACTCAGTTGTTAAGTGAATTCACTGCAGTTGTTCACGGTTGTTGAGTGAATTTGGCTTCCCACGGTGACTTCGCTCGTCAGAAGGTTGCAAAAAGGGGATCACGCAACCGAGGGACACTGCAACCGTCATAACTATGAGCCAGTTACCAAGCGTTCTGAATTTTGATCATGTGACCGCGGTGAGGCTGCAACGGATGTAAGTGCGAAACGACTCACCAAGGTTTGTATCTCTGTTAATCAAACTGCCAGGAGTGTAGATTTA